ATTGAATTTCGTTCGCTCCAGCAGATGGATTCATCGGTACGGGCTTGATTGTGACCGCTCCAATCGCACTGATCGGTCCGGGATAGAGAACTTCTAAAAGTGCAGGTTTGGTCAGATCACGCACATGCCACAGACGAAATTGGCCATCGTCAGAACCTGTAGCCAGCCAACCATCTAGAGTACCCGGACCAAGTTTGATGTAATGAATTCGGGTGAATGCAAGTGCCTGTTCACAGTCCGTTCTTTTCGTGGGATTCCGTGCAAGGCAATCGTTCACGTCAAGGCTGTCGTGAACAATACGCGAATGAACATGTGATTCACCCGATTCTTCTCCATGTCTCGTGGTTGTGAAATGGTAAACACGTGTAACAGCAAACAAATCCGGATTGAACTGTAAAATCACGAAACGAATTCAGACAATGTGAACCGCATTTTTGTCAGATTATCAGTTGCCTATCACCTTCTCGCAATCTTCAGGTTGCCCTTACCGTTTGAACAGTGCTGTTAAAATCCCTTTTATCACCAAGAGCTGTAAAGATGTTAAACACTCTTGCTTAATCTGTTATTCCTCCTTCATTTAGTCTTTCTGAACTCAAGCATCGTATGAACAAGCTAGCTTTTGGATGAATTTTCCATTTTATCTACACAGTACAGTTAGTTACGTCTATGATTGTTAAGTTTGCTCCGTTACTGATCATCATGTCTATCATATCTTAACGAGGTTTAATACACCTTAAAAAAACAACAGAGATTGGTTATCGGTGGCACTTCAAATGATGTAAACTACGTGATCAAGAACAGGGAAGGTCTCTGAGGTAAATGATACATGTTATTTTGGGGCACGAATAAGCAAAAATAACTTTTTTCAATGTGATGGAAATTTTTGTGATAACCAACAAAGCCCACTGGACAGCTATTTCGCCCTGTTTCGGACTCGTGAGCCATCAAGACCATCAAGAGTGCCTGGTGCCTCTGAACAATCGAATGGGATAATCCAAGCTAGATACTCTAAACGTTTTTTTTCAACTTTTTAAGTATCGCGGCACTGAAGCTTTTCACTGTGTATTAGATTGTGTCATCACAATACCCATGTCTAACCATACTCCCACTACTTATGGGTCCATAACGATTGACTGAATGAGCAGAGGACTGTGAGTGAAGATGAAGTAAAAAAGGATATCTGTCCCATTCAACACCTTTCGCTGATTTTACACTACTCATGAGTAATGTTACGTGAATACTCGAGGAACTTATGCCCGAACGACAGCGTGACCACCAGTGCTCCGTGCAGCATGATTCCGCATGTATCCGATCTGACGAAAGTTACTCAATTTGGGAATGAAAGCATAGGATGTGTGTATAAACCTCATGATTATGCGGTTTGCCGTAACCAAACCATAACTGCACCATCTGTTCGACGACGAAAGACTATCAAGTCACGTTTGTTGCGGTTAGTAGCATCTAACCCACTTACAAAAAGGTTGAATCATAGTATTGGTTCTTCAACGAACTTGCTCTGAAAAAGCTGTCTATCCAAAAGCCACCCGGTGGTGCAAGCAAGGTTATTGTGTCGAAAATATACTTCCTGGGTACAAGTTTACGAATGAACTGACAAAAAATTACCGGATACGCATGCCTGACAAGTGGCAAGAATCGCAAAACCGGTCGTGTGTTTCCAGGGAAATTTTGTCCAGTCATTCACATACTACTTATTATATATATACATATACATTTGACACCAATCTTTACAGATACAGCACCAAATAACCATGGGTGTCCGAAAGAATATAGGTACAAAAGCTGGGGAAATAAAACAGTCAAATTCGGGGACTCACAAATTTTTGTTTTTTACTGCACGCCATTTTGAGGTTTTTTCGTTTTCGTTTATTTTTGAGATTGCAAATGGGAGAGGATGCATTCACACCACTGACTTCAGTTTGATGCCATATCCCACAGTGTGTACAGCCAAAGACAATCTGAATCTTTGAGACTCCAGCCGGGGAGCCGGGAAACCCCAACGGAAGCCAGATCCGAGCACAATCTCTTTAACCCTCTGCGCCACGCCATAGCCTGCCCACCTTGCTGTTTCTTCCAGCCTGAACCGATGTCTGCGAATAGTGCACGNGCATTCTTAAGGCGTGCCCTAGCCGCCTAAGACGATGCTTTGAAATTATTTTGCTCAAAGGAAGACTATCTGGTCCTAGCACTCGTCGTCTGACTCCATCGTTATTCACGCGGTGCTTGCACTATATGCGGGTAATGTTGCGCAGACAACGGTTGTCGAATACGGATAGTCATTAGAGGTGATCTTCTCGGAAAGGCCAGGTTTCGCTTCCATAGAGCAACACTGTGCGTACCGCTGCTCAATAAACACGTCCTTTCAGTGAAAGGGCTATGTCGCGCCGGTGCCACAGATGCCGCAGATTAATAAACGCTAATCTAGCTTTGATCACGCAGTGAGAGATCTTCTCACCTACACCTCCCCCGGCCGTTATGCAGCTCCCAATGAAGACAAAGCTTTCGATTACCTCCAGAGTGCCATTACCCAACGAAAGTGCAGGAATGGATTCCTGCCAATCTTGCAACAACACTTTGCACTTTGAAGGGGCAAATGACATACCATAGCGCGTAACCTCAATTGCCAAACGGTTCAACGACTCTTGAATCGTTGGTGCGTTGTCACCCATTAAAGTAATTTTATCGGCATACTCTAGATCTACGACTCTGTCCCCAGGAAGACTTTCGACGCCAGCGTTCGTTATGTTATTTAACGCGTTTTGTGGAGCATCATTTATGTCAAAGTTGAAGAGAAACGGAGTGATAGGGCAACCCTGTCGCACCTCAATGGTGATAGGAAATAAGGATCAAAGTTCACCATAGGCCCTAACCTTCTTCGAGGTCTGGTGAAAAAGCGCTTTTAGGGGTGAGACATATTTCTCGGGTACTCCGTATCTCCACAAACAGTTCCACAGTGTGAGGTGATCGATAGAGTCGAAAGCCGCTCTGAAATCTAAAAACACAACAATGGCTTGTCGTCTGTATGCGTGGTGGTGTTCTAGTTGCCGATGGAGGGTAAGGATTTGATCTATGCAGCCAAGACGTGCACGAAACCCAGCCTGCTCCTCGCGGATTTGCTTCTCACGGAATGGGCATTGCCTGCGTAATAAAACGGACGCCAGCAGCTTCGGCGCTACTGGAATCAGACATATGCCCCTGTGGTTGGAATAGGCTTTGCGACAGCCCTTCTTGTAGATGGGTGTGGTAATCGATTCTCTCCATGCGTGGGGTACACTTTCAGTTTCCCAGGTCTTCGAAAACAATCTCACAAGTTGTCTTATGAGAGCATCTCCACCATCTTTAAAGAGGGTAGGTGGCAGGCCATTTGATACAGCTGCCTTGTGACGTTTCAGGGCTTGGAGGTCCCTTCGGATGTCCGCTTCTGTGAGCGGTCCCGTGGATAGTGACCAGGGTGCACTCTAAAGAGAACTGCTCAGGGCAGCTAGCATGAGGACGGTTGAACTGCGATGTGACGTGCTCCGCCCAGCGTTCCAATCGTCGGTGAAGGCTGTTTATTAGCGTGCCGTCTACTTCGCAGATTGTTTCACTAACGCACT